TGAAAATAACTGATTTCTTCAAGGTCTATATTTTAGGACTATAATTTTAAAATTATTATTTTCTTTAAATTTTTTTAAATAATCAAATTTACCTTTTAGTTGTTCCTCTGTATCTAATCTTATCTTGTTAATAGCTTCATCTCTGGAAATCTAAAAGAAAGTTGAGTTTCAGTTATTATATATACATGGCAACATTTAACATTTCTATTTTAAAATATTTTTAATTATTATACAATTACATATTGTAATAGTAATTGGATTTCTCTAATGATAGTATTCTTTAAAAGACTGCAAATGGTTACTGATTTGTAAGAAAAATTACCTATTTAATTCATTCAAAAATATTTACACACTTCCCTAAAACTTGTATATAATCAACAAAGAGAATAAAGATGCAAACAGCTAGGTTTTTATTTAGCTTTCTGTTTAGAGATTTTTCATAAAAAAGGACTAATATTCATAAACAAAATTAAGTTATAACAAAAAAGAATTCCCAGAATAATCATATAAGACAAAATTCAGGTATACCTACTTTATCATGTTCATGATCTGTAAAAACTGCATAGAGTTTTTCCATGGCGAATCTATTTTAAGCACAAAATAAACATCAGCATAATATCTGGAAACACTAGGCAGTGTCTATTACAAACAAAACTAAAATAATAATAATAAGCTAAAATATTTAACAAACATTTCATAAAGAAGTAAAAATACATATTATTGCTCTGTAATACTGCTTATCTTTACTATTTATAACATGATACAGAACACAAATTTCTTTCTTCTCACCTCTTAGGGGAATCACTTTTTCTTCCTCTCTACCCATACTGTTTCTTTTCTGACCTGTTCCTTTTTTTCTGTTCTATACATTTTGGCTGTTATCGCAGGCACCCCTTTTGTTGGGGACAGTGTATATAACTCTTTAATCTCTGAGTGATAGATGGGAGACTCATACTAAGGGAAATATTAACTTTTTCATTTCTTTCAAATAAAATGAAATAATTTTCTGGTCACTCATTCAGAAATTTACTGAGTGCTTATGTGCAGGCATATTATGAGCACTGGGTGTATAGTGGGTGGTTATATTTCTTCTTGAGAACCTCAACAGTTTCCTTAGATATTCAAATATCTTATGCTTTATACTTTTTCCTTGACACAGAGATATGAAGATTATCTGAATGTTGACCAACAAACTCACTCTCCCTTTCCTTTGAGATTCAAACTTGGGCTCTTGAAGAAGGATGTGAGTTTATCCTTTTTAAAACATCCGAATGGTATTTATGGAAATGATTCTTAAAATAGAAGAATGCTGTAAGAAGTAATGGATGGACAGTGCTTCCATGAAAAGGTTTTTTTCTGAGATGAAATTAAATTTGGTGACAATTTCATATTTTCTTTTGTACAGATGTTCTTACTTATGAGCGTGTTTCACAATGTCTGGTGAAGGGATAAACAACTTCTGAGGTGTCCTCTTGGTAACACCAATTTCTTTCACCAGCTGCTGGATGCCCTGAATTATTTGTTGTGTATATTTTACTCCCACTTTGATAGCATGGCAAAAGTCCTGCTGCAAAATATTCTCTGCAGAGGCTTCCAACATGACTAAAGGGGGAAAAAAAAAGACAGTCATTGAACCTTCACCAATATAGCATTTTAAATACCATGACATGACATTAATACTACAGATCAGTTTTATTAATCCACTTTTTTGATTTCTTTATTCAGAATCAACATAATTCCAAAATATAAACAGCACTAAATGAATAAAGAAACCTTGATATTTGAAATTAGGTTTATATTCTTTATAAATTTAATGAGGGATTAATCATAAAAAATGAAACAGAAAAGAAAATAAATTATGCATACTTTTTTATGACAGCTTTACAGACGTAATTCAAATACCATAAAATCTACCATTTAGTGTATACAATTGCATTTATTTTTAAAATGTATTTTAAAATGAAATTTTAAAATATCAGCATAGCAGGTGTCCAATAACTGTTTCCTGTTTTACAATTATTTGATGTGACATCCCACTTAATTCTGACATTGTTACATTGTCTAATTCTCACACAGGTGGGGAAATCTTTGAAGTGATATTGTTTCAAGGAAGCCAACTACAGGACCCTAGTTACTACCATAAAAAGGTTGTTTTTATGGTTCTGTAACAGTAAAACTCCGGTATAAAGCAGGAAAGCTCCAAAGTAAGGGTTCTAGCATGGTATCTAGCTAAACTCTAATATTCAGCTTTTGCTTTGGTTTCTACAGGGCTGAACAGACTCCTGCCAACTTGCGTGTCATTTCTGGCATTTCTCAACTTGTCCAAAGTCAAAGATCATGTAACAGTTAACCATCATAGTTATCATCATATCTAATATGTTTAACCACATCATATTGTCATTAAGATTTATTATTATCTAAAAAGTCACTTAAAGGTATAATCTAGAATGAAAAAAAATCTACTTATGTGCTTTATATATTGAAATTCCATTAATCATTTGAAGCAGAACTGTGAAACAAAAGGTCTAACATTTGTGTCACTGGAGTCCTGGAAAGAGACAAGAGAGAGGGCAGAACTGAAAAGTAATGGGGTGAAAAATAGCTGGAAACTTCCTAAATTTGGCAGACACAAACCTACAGATTCAAGAAGCTGAGTAAACCTTACATAGCATAACCCAAAGAAAGACACATCATAATCAAACTTCTGAAAACCAAAGACAAAGGAAAAAATCTTGAAACCAGCTGAGAAAAATGACACCTTACACACATGGGAAAAGCAATTCAAACAATAGCAGATTTATCATCAGAAACCATGCCAGAGAGAAGAGGCATATTTTTCAGGTGCTGAAAGAAAAGAACTGTCAACCCAGAATCCTATACCTGTGAAAATATTTAGGAATGAAGGAGAAATGAAGACCCTTAGATGAAGAACTAAGAAAATATGTCACTCTAAAAGAATGGCTAAAGGAAGTTCTCTAAATAGAAAGGACACAATAAAGGAAGAAACCATGTTAAGCAAACCATGGTAAGACCATGTTAAACAGAAATACAATACACTTCCCTTATCTTGAATTTTCTAAATTGTTTGATGGCTGAAGCAAAGCAAAAATCTTAACACTTCCCTGTTGTGTTTCTAAAAGTAGAGAAACATTAAATAAATATATTAAACCAGGGGAGAGTAAAGGGAGGTAAGGTTTTAATTCTTCACTTGAGGCATGAAGAAGCTTCATCTTATACCATGATATTGAGATAGTTACATCCTTTTTCTTATCTGTATTCCCAAGACATCATCTCTCACTTTCACAGAATAAAATGGGAGATTTTAAAACATGCATTTAATGTAAATTATACCTAAGTAAATTGATTTTAAAAAGATAATATGAGAATATGGTAAAGAAAATGAATATTACTCACATAAACTTTGTTTTTGTAAGTTTTTATTTTTAAAGTGCTTTATAAGAAAACTTTTATAGTTTTTGAGTCTGTAGAACTATGCTGTTGAATATAACTACTAGTCCCATATGGCTATTTGCATTTAAATAAGTTAAAATTATATAAAATTAAAAATTCAGTTCCTTAGTTACAAGCTACATTCAAGTACTCAGCAGTCACATGTTCAGATATAAAACATTTCCTTCATTGCAGAGTTCAACTGGACAGCACTGCCATAGAGGCTAAAATTTTAAACAAAAAACTTGTCAAAATGGTTGCTCTAAACTTAACCACCTTCAGTAGTTGAAGATTAAAAGATTTTTGAGATATACTGAAGCTATGAATTCTAGATACAATTTTCTTCTGAAAAAATTATTATTATTGTTATACTTTTTCCTGAATTATATCCTAGTATACACAGAAAGATTAGTGATTTTACCAGTTGAAAACAAGCATCTAAATGGCTGCTGAAGTAATCTAGAAGCTGACAGCATACAGAAATTATTCACCCTATAAGGCTATACTTTAAAGATTCAAATTATTAAAAATTTTAATAATGAAGTAGTAGCAATTACTTTTTCATATTTTTGTATCCCAGAAGTTCCATGATGATGGTACTTGACTTGTACCCAATATTAACCTTAACACATGAACATGTGGTCAAATAGTGAACCCTGACAAAAGCACAGAGAGCTGGCTGAATATTTTCATGAAAATAGTGATTCAAAAGTCATAAAATGGAGGCTGATAATTTCTGAAAGCAGTATCCTTACAGGTTGGTTCTGAATCACTTTCAGCCTCTTTATAAATTACTCAAGACTATCTTGTGATGGTTTAAGCAGTGTCTAGTCCCATTCTTCCATCTAGAAGGCAATAGCTGAGAACAGCTAGCTGAAAGGCTGCCTGTGGGGTTGCTATGGCATGACACAGATGCAGTAATGATCCTTAGTTCATTCCTCAGTGTCTACTTAAAATTAGAGGGGTTCAAACCTGAAGGCAGACAGAGGTTATATGACCATTTAGAAGCAAGTTTATTTTTGTGTCTTAATGGTAATAGCAGGTATTAACTGTATGCTTACTAGGTACTAGGTATTATGCTGGGCACTTAACAAACCTTGATTCTAATCTTCAACAACTCTGTAAAGTAGACAAATCAATTTACTAATTGAAAGTAAATGAACACTGTAACTTGAAGGAAAAATAAATCTCAGATATGAACTTTTAACAGTAAACCAATATTTGCTCAAGGCCCTTTCTGAGATGCTCACATATGATGTAGGTGTTATCTGTTATTCATGCCTTCCCCAAATCTTTGGAATACTTTCTCTATATTGCAATAGTTCCTCATCACCTGGAGGTAGAATCAAAAAACCATTTCCTTGCCTCCCTTATAGTTAAGAATGCAGCTGTGTCACAGTTCTGCCCAATAAGATGTAAGTGGAAATTGCTATGTGGAGACCTCTGGGAGAGCTCCTTAAAAGGGACAGTGACTCACTCAGGTGGCACACACTTTTTTACTATTTCCTTCCTTTTTCTTTTTTCTTCCTCCTGTCTATAAGTCAGATAAATTGGCCAGAGCTCAGGTGGGAAGTTCATAAGCACAAAGATGAAGGCCACACTCTAAGGACTGCAGAGTAGAAAGCTAGAAGGAATCCAGATTTCTTAAGGCATTATGGATCTGCTGTAACTGTCCTGGACTTACTACCTCTGAATCTTTTTTACCTGAAAGAAAATAAGTTCCCATCTTGTTTAAGCCTTGTTATTTAGTTTAACAACACAGTCTCTAACTAATATGTAGATAATACACAACTCCTGTTACATGTGTTTTGCCTATCATATAGTACCTAATTCTAACTCATTACCAACTAACTTTCCAAAAGAAGAAACTGGAAATGAGGTGTTTCACATATTAATTGTACAAAAAAGCATGAAAAGTTTAATAGTTTACATTTCATCAAAATGTTCTCACATCAGAAGATCTCATGTCAAAAAGTTACAGACATCAAATGTCACACAGTAGAATTAACTGATAAGAGACCTTAATTAATTTGTCCAAGGTCACATGCCTAACTATGGCATATGCTGTATTTCAAACCCAAATCATTCTGACTGTTAAAGCCTATTCTCCTTCAATAGAACCAGGCCCTGATTTTCATTCATGCAATTATGACATTTTTGTTACAAGGAGTGAAGGTGATCCATGGTTAATCCATTTCTTCTACTTTATTACTAGTTTTCCACCTACTGGAAATATGATACTTCTTTCTTAAAGGACAGTAACCAGGCTTAGAATTACTACATTAAATGAATTAATATATTTAAACTAAGAAGACAATTTGTTACCAGATTTAGAACTTCAAATTTTAGACGAGTTTATCAGTCTAAAAATAAATACTAGAATTATCAAAGATTTCTGTATGTTTCAATTACACATGAATAGAACATTCTGTTATTTTAGGTATTGTTTGATATGAAGTAAGAGCACTACTAAAACAGGGCAAAAGTAAAACAAAACAAAAAATCTTTATGACTAACTGACAAAACACACAAAAAAGAGTTTAAATGCATTTTTAAGAAGCCAGGCTTGTAAGTAAAACCCAGAACAAATCTACCACTTAAACTACTTACCAATCTGACTTTTAGGTGCTCCAGCAACTATTAAATTTAAAGTACTAGAAGACATTTCTTTTCGTGTTGGGTTAACAATACATTCTCCATCAATCATTCCTATTCGTACTGCCCCTAAAATACATTAAAATATTGATAGTTGTTTAATAAAAACTCAGTTTTCAAGACATTATTCCAGTGACGACTTCAGTCCCTATCCTCAGTTGTGACCACAATAAAATCCTTATTTCTACCAAGGTATTTAAGGGCCACAGATCATCCTATCTCACCCTACCTTCTGGCCTCACAGGACCACTCAGTTGCTCAAATACACCATTCCTTCTACATCTCTGTGATTATGGTCATATGCTCATGCTTTTCTCCTGGTTTAGACTGTACTTTATTTAAGGCAAGTGCTTACCATATGATCCTATTGCGGTTTAGCTTAACTGTTGATTACTCTGAGAAGCCCTCCTTGATAACCTGACCTCACAAGACTAAACCCACCCTTCTCTATCATTTTCTTAGCACTTTGACTACACCTTTATAATACTGTTTATAAATTATTTGTCTGTTTTACTGAAAGCAAGAACTGTCTCATTCATCTTTGTACTGCAGATGCCTAGTCTGTTTTAGTTTCTTCAGTGCTTAACTCAGTTTATTTGTCATTTAGGACACTCAATAATTATTACTTGATGAACTCCATTTGTATATTGTATGATTACAACTTTTAAGAGCTGTAAGTTACAAACTTGTTTGTTTTACCTTGAAAGAGTAGAAAGAATATACACTCTGATAACTTCCCAGTTAAAAATGTCCTCAAACAGAAGAGGCAATTAAGAAGTCAAAGTATCTAGGAATATAAAATTATCTCTAACACCATAACGTATTGCTATCAGAAACAAAACCCAAGACAAGGATAAAAATGTCTCAAAGCTGAAAAGAGTTTTATGGAGTTGAATCTGATGACATTCTTAGAAATAATAAATCAGAGCTAATAAATCTATGTCCTTGCCATAGCATGCTCACTAGTATTTCCTGAAAAAAATATAAATAATGTTTCTTATTTTCAGATTCTAACTTACCAATAGGTCCATTCCAAGGAATATCTGATAACGAGAGGGCTACAGAAGCTTAAAAAAAAAAAAAGAGCTAAAATAAAAATATTTCATTGCTTTTAAAAAAATCAATATATTTTAATTTAATTTTTATACTTACCACCATTAATTGCTAGGACATCAGGCTCATTAACACCATCTACTGCTAACAGATTACAAAGGATCTGGACAAGGAAAAAAATTCAAAGTACTTAAAACAATAGCATCTTCCTAAAAAGTCCTTAGGAAAATTACAGGAAATATTGTGTGTAAAGCATTTATAATACTGGGCATGTTGAAACTATTTAGTAAGTGTTAGCTATGTTAGCTATATTGTTGTCTTCTGTTTGTTAAGCACAGACAAAGAAATTACTTTACACTATAATAATATCCCTATGTCATACACTTAGGCAAATAACTTCTTGAGCAGTGACATCCTTGCAAAGGAATATTTGCAAGGCATATTTATTTTATCAAATAAATAAAAGCTACTTAATTAAAGTATATGGATCCTTATTCTAAAAAAAAGTAATGCACAGAAGGTAGTAAAATGATAAAGCAGAGGTTTAGAGGGCCCAGTAATAAAAATAAATAATATAGATAGGTTATATCAACTGTCCTCGTCTGTTTACCAATATGACCTACAAGGCTCAGCCTGAACTGTCCCCACCCATCTCAACCACTCTAACCTTTTTTTTCAAATTCACCCATTTCTTTCCTGCCTCAGGACTTTGATGTTTCCTATTCCATCTGCCTAGAATGCTTCCTTCACACTCCTACACTGGGTAACCCCTACTCATAATTTAGGTATCAGCTCATATTGACACTGAATAAATGTTAGCTTTTTTAAAATTATTGTTTAAAAAAAAAAGACTTAATGTAAAAAAGCATCAGCATCACCAAAAATTCTTATTTTGTATTCTTTATAATGTTTAGACTAAGAAGTATTAGAGAGTCATTAAGTCATTTTTAATTGACCCGGAAAGGAATAAACCTAAGGCAGAACCTACCTGTGTATCATAAAAGTAACCAGCTGGAAAGAGAGGTCTAATTGAACGATCTGCCAAAAGGAAAAAAAGACATTAAATAGTACTGATAGAAGTTGCTTTACAGTTCAAAACGTTTTCTCTATTAAACACCAAGCTTAAAATTAATAGAACTAGCCATTCAATATAACCAAAGAACAGTAACAAAAATGAAACCCTTGGACTGATTTACTGAGAGGAACACAGAAAAATGTTAATATACACCATGCTCTAAAGACAGAAAACTAGCAGGGCAGGAGCACCCAAGTGTAAAATTGAGGAGCAACTTTTCATTCTGGTTCCACGGGCATCCGAATTCATTGTTTACTTGTTATCTATTTATGTAAACAGAAGAAAGGGACTTAGACCAACAGCAGACCAAAAGAAAATCTTTCCTTGGTATTCTGTGTCTGATAAATGCATATAAACATACACTAAGTAGGAATTTTAGGTAGAAGAGCTATAAACTACAAATGATCCCACAATATTTAAGGATGTCAAAGATTTGAAAGATTACAGACATGTTCAGAGTTGGTGAATATAATGCTTTCAGGAATTACTATGCTGAACATAAAAATGAAAACTACTCAGGACAGGTTCAAAGAGTAGAGGCGTGAGCCACAGAATTTATATGCTCAATAGAGATGCATTCATTTAGTCAACAAATATTTACTGAATGCCTATTTTGTGCCAGGCAGTATACCAGGTACAGAAGATTCTGTAGTGAATAAACAAAAAAAGTTTTTTCTCTCATGGAGCCCACATTTGAGTGAGGGGATACAGAAAGTAAATAGTCTCAGGCAGTGTTAATATAGTGAAAGAAAATTTGAGATTGTAGAACACAGATGGAAGAGAAGAGATGCTAAGACAGGCATATCAGAGAAGGTTAATGCTTCTATCTTACCTATTACTCGACTTGTGAGAATTTCTTTATCAGAAGATCCAATCTCTCTTCTAAGATAGTTTGTGGGAATTCTACCTGCTGCAGCAGCCTTCTGTCTATAGTCAACCTGAAGTAGCAATGCAAAAAATGAAGTTCATTTGACTGTTTTTTGTAATAACAAATTCTTCCCCAAGAACTACTATATAGATACTAATTCTCCTAAGGGTCCAACAACATATTCCAGACTAAGAGCGGAGAATATTTTACTTTTAATGTTTTGTATCTCTTATAGAAAAGAGAGCTGAATGTTTCAGTAAATTGATTTTAACTATGTAATCTTACTGCTTCCCATAGTAGCTTATCTTGGTCAAGTCAAACACTGCCTTTTTGTATCAACTCTCTTAGATAATAACTGCATTCCGCTTTTTGTAATAGAAAGAAGCCATAAAATCCTAATAAACTCTTCACCAAACATATATTTGCAGGCTCATACTAGAGGGAAATCTATGAAAGCAATGAATTCATTACTTATTCAACATCAAAATACTTATGCATTTCCACTATTCTTGTCAACCTGGACATTCTGAAGTATGCATACCACTAGTATGAGACCTGGTTATAAAGCAATCAGTTTAAATTCTTTTAATGACTCAGTATCAAGCAATTAAGGAAAATTGTTTGTTGTGCAAAGTTTTCATTTTGCACTCACCAGGCACTGAACAAGTGTATTACAAATTCTACATTTATGCTATAATACAGTTTAGATAAATCAGCAAATACTTACCACTAAGGGCATGAACTGGGAAGGTGAAGGTTTTGTTTTACTGA